AGAACAGAACATTTTTCAGAAAGCTTTGATGCATATACCATGTTAATTACATTTTACAAACATTTAATCTAGACAGAATAAAAACTTATTTTTTACCCACTTAAAATTAGAAATATTTGGACTTTGACAATTGTTTGTCTGATTCATCTGAAATGGCAAATTCTTTTTCAATACATCTAGAGTTGTATAATATAATAGCAAATTATTGTTTAGAGGGCATTTTGGTATGGTAAAGTCATTGAACCTCTTTAATGTAACATGCATTTGAATTGTTACATCGTTCCTAATAATAGTATACAGTGGCACCATGGGACAGGGCAATTTCCTACCGTCTTCTACAGCATTGTGCTGGTAGGATATGAGATCATGTCATGAAATCCAGGAGTGTAATTTATAAGATCTTTTGCTCAATTTTGCCTGATGTCATAGAGTAGACTTGCCTAAAGGACTTTGTAGGAAGTGAGGTATGATTTCTCTAACTCCAATTTGTTTTCATTTATTTTAATCAAAATAAAGGAGAGTAAGAAGATATTTTGTCTAATCTGAAAGTGGCCCTCCACTTTACTTGATCTTGTTTTCTTTTAAGAAATCTGTTTTTCTTTAGGGATATTATTACTGACATAACTTTTTAGTTTTGTGAAAATGTTCCAGTAACTTTGTGGTTTCTTCTATAGCCTTTGTTCATAGTAGTCATGATAAAGAATAAAACAGCCACAGTTTTCAAGGCCCAGTAGGAATATATTTATTGATAGAAAAAAATTGCAAGGGACAGCATGCAGAAATTTTTGTATAAAGTGATCCCCAGTGATATTGATAGAAATTATTTTTGATACCTTATATTTCAAAATGTGCTGTAGAAAAACAGAAAAAATGATGCAATTGAATTGTTTTTACATGCATCACAAAATACCACTTTGGCCTGTTCTGTTCATTACAATGGAAAATAGAGCATTTGGCACTATAGAAAGCCAGGCTTCGTAATTAAGTGACATCTATTTATTTTCTGGACCCACAGCCAAAGGGTAGAAAATGTATTCTGTAAACTTTATTTAAAATATCCTTTGTTAAAGGATATCATTTTTTCTCCATAACTTATTCATCTGGATTTAGTCACAAAAGGAAAAGTAGCATATCAGTTTCCTATATCTAAGTTTCATTCTAAAGAAGATGAAGATTTGGTGCAATGACTAGGCTATTGTCTAAAGAAGACACCAGACTCTTTGATTTTGATATCTGAACCTAGAACTTAGTACAAGGATACCTCAGGCTGTCATGGGTCACACATATACAGACGAGGCCAGGACAATTGCTCTTCTCTCACAATTTAACCTGGTGGCTAACAGGCCTCACTTGTAGTTTTCACACAAGTAGAATTGATGCCAGTATAAGCCTGTTTAGGGTTTTTCCTTTTAGAAAAATGGCTCATGACTCAGACACACTGAAATGTGTGTTTGTGACAGCAGCTTTTAACTTACTGACAGGGTCTGTAGAGCACCACCCCTATTCCCCTGTGGACAACAAATAAGACAGAGGAAACTGTGGGGCCTGGGCCTGGACAACCAGACTCCCAAACGGCTTGACCATGGTAATAACACACAGGAAGGAGAGGTTGCACAGAACATCTAGAGGAAATCTTACTTATGATAGATGCCATTTGAAAGGCAGAGAAATATAATTTAAAAAGAACACACTTAAATTCCATGTGCACATGCACCCATTAAACTATTTTTTATGTTAGACAAATTTTAAATGAATAGAAATGATGCTGAAATTATGTGAAGATAATTATTAAGTGTGTCTGATAAAAAATTTTAATTTTCATATATTTCATATAAAAAGGGTACATCTATATAAAATTTGAAAAAATACAAACATACAAACCCTCAGAAAAAATAAAAACCATCTGCAATGCCAACATTTAGGAAAATAACTATTAACTATTTGTTGCATTTAACACCAGTAGTTTCCATACATATGTAAATATGAATAACACATATACAGTTCCAAATATTGAATTATATTCATTTACATAATTTAAGAAACATTGAAACAGAATATATTCTAAATGCTGTACAAATATTAATTAATTAATCCTCATAACAACCCTATAAGATTATCCTCATTAAACAGATTAACCCAAATGCCCATCAATAGATAAATGGATAAATAAATTTTGTTATATCCATACAATGGAATATTATTTAGCCATGAAAAGGAATAAAGTACTGATACCTGCTACAATGTGATGAACCTCGAAACGTTATGCTAAGTGAAAGAAGCCAGACAAAAAAGTCACATATTATATGATTCCTTTTATACGATATATCCAGAATAGGCAAACAGTGACAGAAAGTAGATTAGTGATTGCCAGCAGACGAGGGTAGGGGGCAAATGGGGAATGGTAACTTAAGGAGTATGCAGTGTTTTTCTAGGATAATGAAAAAGTTTTGAAACTTGAAAGAGGTGATGGGTGCAGAAAGTTGTGAATGCACTAAACCGCACTGAATCGTACACTTTAAAATGGTTAGTTGTATGTTATATAAATTTCACCTTGATAAAATAAATAAATAAAAGAAAACTGAAGCACAGAGAGGTTAAATAAACAAGGCTAGTAAGTTGTAGATCCAGGATTTAAACTCAGGCAATCTATGCCCATACACTACTTGTTTAAATATAATGAGCTACTGAGATTAGAATTACATTTCTTTCTTTTAACTTAGTACTATTGTAAGCAATTTCCTTTAACATTAGATAAATATTCCTAAAATTTTCATTTTTAAGATTCAAAATAAATGTAACCAGCACCCATTTAAAATCTGATTCTAATATGTGTCTGCCGTATGTTCAGTGTATCTTTCCCTGAAGATCTGGCATGAGGACCTGAAGGCAGAGCAGTCCTGCCTGGGTTGTAGAAACTCCTTCCTTTGAGAGAAGAAGGAAGAGACAGCAGGAAGAAAACCTGCCTTCCAGCATTGCTCCTTCTTCTGGCAGAAGAGCCCTGTATGTTAAGAGAGTCCAATAAAGCCTGAGAGTCTCTCCCATATCAGGTAGAAGAGTTTGGGGTGCATCTAGAGATCTAGAATCTAGCTGATTCCACAAAACTGGGTTGTTCAGTTCAACCAAGGCATTTCCTATCAGAATGAATGGGTGTATCAAGAAATTAGAGAATTCCTGTTTCATCCTCCACTGTCAGACACTAGAGTCTTGGCAGTGCAGCCGGTCTAGGGGCTGAGGGAGTATGGGAGACACTAGGAGGAAGAAGTAATAAATTTCTCTAAATTGTGTGGAGCTAAAATGAGTGATCTGGAAATATTATTTAGTTAACAAAAGAAACTTTTTGTTTGTTTTTTACAAATGTGTGCCATATTGAGAATATTTATATTATGCTGTTGGAAGAAATAAGAAGAACATATAATTGCATATAGTCTGATTCAAAAATATAGAGAAATAAAAGGCAAAAAAACCTTTCACTAGAGCAATTTCCAAAGGATAAAAACTAAATGTTAGTCACAATTATTCTTTGGGAGATGACAGTACTATTGATTTTCGCCACCTTATACTTTTGCTTTAAAGATTTCTACAAACGATGTCATATTGCTTGTTTGACCAATGTAAGTATTGAAGATTAATTACAGAAGAATGAGCCAGCTTCTCCTTTTCACAAGGTTTTGAAAATTTAGAACAAACTTGTTTGTTTCTTCATGAATATATATTTATGATGTGTCAGGCACTGTGCTAGGCTCTACATGTTCAATGATGGAAGAAATAGACATGGCCTAGGGTGCAGCAAACTTAATGTTTGGGAACAAATAGGATACAGATCTTTCCTCAAATACTTTTCAACCCTCTGCCATACCCTCCCCTACCCAATAATAATTCTATTGCTGCTGCTGCTGTTGCTTCTCCTCCTCCTCTCCCTTATCTTTCTCCTCATCTTCCTCTTCCTCCTCCTGCTGCTACCCCTCCGTCTTCTTCTTCTACTTTTTCTTCTCCTCCTCCTTCTTTTTTTTGAGGAACCACCACTTCCCTCCTCAAAAAGGCACACAGAGAGCCAAGGGAGGATGGGATGTAATGAGGTTGAGAGAGAGTCAGGGGCCAGACTATGCATACCATGTCCTTCCTATGGCCAAAGAAAGGGTGTAAGGACAATGGGAAAGTACTGAAGGATTTAGACAGATTGAATTTACAATTGGCACAGATAATTGTGATTTCAGGGAATAATGGATTAGAGAGAGAAAAGTTTTGAAGTAGGGAGACAGAGAGTAGACTATTGCAGTGGTCCGGGTAGTGGATGGTAGGACACAGGGTGACAAAAGAGAAGGAGGGAATGGGATAATTTGAAGGCAGTTTGCATGGTTTGGGGGAAAGATGGGACAAGTCTTCCACGACTCTCCCACCGACCTTAGGCACAGCGCCTTCATGACATAACCAGTTGGCCCTGGGAAAGAAGAAATGGGACAAAGATGTGGATTTTTTCTGATCCCCATTCCCTCTGACTGGAGATACAGATTGTTTCTTAAAGAGCTTTATTGGTAGAATGACAATGATGTTATTGTTATTAAATTAAAGCATTGTCCAAATATATTATTTCTTCTTGTTTTTTCTAGTACTGCTAAGTCCATCAATCAAGAGTATGGATGATTATAGACACATGCTATCCTTTCCCCTGTAGTAGTATTTCTAAAAATTAAAGAATTGCGTCATTTTCTCTTCTGTAATTGAGCTACAGATATATTTAGCATTTCCTACTCTTTCTTACAGCCCCCAAGAATTATAGCATCTAAATTGTAAAAAAATGAGATATTTAAATATTTATGTTTAAATTTATTTAAATTAATATTTATAAATTTATGTTTTATATATTTTTATATATTATACATTTATACTTATATACTATATCTTATATACTATAAATTATATTTAAATATATATCTTTGTATAAATATATTTGAGATTATTAATGCTTCTGATGGTCTTAAGATGGTGGATTTAACTGAGAGAAAAACACTACTTTAGACCAGTTAATGTTACATGTATCCAGCCATTACATTTAATTGCATATCTTTTGTCCAAGCCATATAATTGACAAGAAATTCTTTTCACATGGATTTCACCCAAGGCTTAATTTATTTTCTGCCTTGATTATACTGACCTTGCAGAATATCCAAAATATCAAAATTAGAGGTCAGCGATCTACTCTGGTTGAGACCACAAATTTACTATAAAAATTTTGAAGCAATGAGGAACTAAAGGAATATATGTTTTTTCATACTATTAAATGATGAAACGTATCTTTGTCTGGAGCTGTCATTTTTGCTGCTTCTTAGTTTCCTTTTTAGCCTTTTTCCCCATTCTACAATGGTCTTTGTCTGCTTTCTTCCCCACAAACTCTGGACTGTTTTACACTTGACACTGTGGATACGTGGCTCTTCATTCAGCAGAGCAACGAAGGCAAATGTTGGAGACCAGTTGATTTTCTACCAGAAATGAGCTGTAGCTTGGAAAAGCTAAAAGGAAATATGTTTTTTGCTCACTCCATTTCAGAAAGCTGAGAGAATGAAATGGGCACATGTCAGCCCAAAGACAGAAAGCAGAGAAGAAGTCACTGCATGTGCAGAAGCATGTCTAGAAGACAGCTGCTACAGAAAAGAGGGCATTACAAAAAAGCAGGAAAAAACCCTTCAAAGTAAATGAAAAGAAACAGACAGTTCTTCAAAACAAGAGAGGGAATTAGAAAAAGAACATTTGGAGAGGAAAAAGCATTTGGAATTTTTCTAAGAAGAAGGTACAAACTCAACTCTCAGAAGTAAGAATCAGATGAGGGAAGGTGAAGATTATTACAGGCACAAAGAACAGAAGTGCAAAGAGTTGGAGAAAGATCATTAATCGTTCTGGGAATCAGAAGCGTCCTGTGATACGCAAAATGAGGAGGTAAGTGGCCCAAAAGGGATGGAGAGGAGGTTGGTGCCAAAGCATACACAGCAGAGTTTCTCAAACTATTTGTGGTGAGGGACTATTCATCTTTAAAAAATATTTCTAATTCATAGCAGACTCTACTATAGCATAGCAGGTCCTACTGAAAACTCATACGCACATTGAGCCACATATATCTCACCGTGTGATTTCTGGCAACACAAACTGGTCTATACCTTTGCAACAAAACAAGTTCCCTGATCACATATATAGATGTCACAGCATTGTCAAATGAGTATAAACATTCTAAATACTTACTCTCAAATTTTGCACTTATGTCACAAACTGGCATCGCATTTTATGTTGCACTGATGTAAGGTGTTTTGATTTTATTCTAGGTCCAATGGGAAGATATAGAAGAGTTTTCAAAAGCTGAGTAAGATTAGAGGATTTGCATTTTGAATTACAAACAACAGCCTGTAAAGCACTTATTGGAGACAGGGCAGGGGTAGAAACAGGGAGCGTAGGAGACTGTTGTAATAATGAGGTATAGAGGATAGGTAGCGACCACGAAGAGGAACAGATGATCTGAGATACACTTTGGTGGTAGTACCAACAGTGTTAATAGATTGAATGTGAAAATTGAGGGTGAAGGGAGAACCAAGAATGATTCAAGGATTTTATCTGGAGTAACTGGGTGAGTATCATATAAAAGGGGAAGACAGGCGGAATGATTTAGGATGGACACGGAGATGGTGGAATCGAGAGTTCTGCTTTTGCTATGCTAGACATAAACTCGTCACAGGAGAGTCGGATGGATGAAGAGTCTCATTTGTTTAAAAGGTCTCTCTCCAGTTGGAGTAAAACAAGATGTTTATGTTCCTGGTCCCAGAATTCTGACCAATCTTCTCAACAGAACTTTTGATGAACTAATGAAACGGTCTGATAGTAATACTACTAAACAATAGTTAGGCTTCTGTGCACAGTTGGCAGTTACCCACAGGAAGATAAATTACTGGCTTGTAAGCAGAAAGAGTTCCCAATATGTGTACACCATGTCAAAAGCGTCCTGTTAGTCTTTCTATGAATCAGGTTCCTTTCAGTTTGGGATTAGAAAAAATGGATTTGTATTTGGAGTTTTATTACAAGTATAGATTTACAATTGAATTTAAATGGTGGAAATGGAAAAAACAAAGTTTTCTAAAATATATTAGCTTATAGGAAAGAGTGCCAGAAAGAAGAAATAAAGACAAGTCAGCAACTTCCTTAGAGTTCCAGAGAATAACCTTTGAATTCATACTAATTAGCTTCAAAGATCCTGGAAAATTTGACCCCAGTGACTGCCCTGTTGAACTTTGCTAAGCACGAATAGCTATTTTCTTCTCTGGTTGGCTAGTAAGAACATGACAAGCTATTTGAAGAATTTCTCATTTACTAAGAAATTTCCTTATGGTACACATGACAGCGCTGACTCAATACCTTCAACAAACTCCCAGTTGTATTTTTATCAACCTTTTAAAATATTATGCTTGCTGTTACCAAAACGAGACACACTAGGTCATGTCATTTGTTGCATTTTAGGGTTAATGTTCACTTCTGATAGGACTTCTCTTTATGAGTTTACTTGCATTCTGGTAACATGGAAAGTTTGTCTTATAAATCTGTCTCTAGAATTACCTTTTCTCTCAGACCACAAGTTTAAGCATATTCCTCCAGCCTTGAACTTCAGGGGAAATGAGCACACAGTACCAATGGTATATCTAATAATGCCGAAGACAATAGACATTGATTATTTTATTTTTTAGTTCATATTACTCCAAGAGAAGGAATTTACCTCATTCTCTCTAGTTTCTATTTCCCACAGAGATTAAAGTAAAGGTTAGTTGTTTTATTGGAAAAAGACCACTGAAAAATATCATTTACTCTGCTGGCCCACGGATTTTCTCAGAATGTTTAGTAGCAGAAACACATATCCTTAAGGATTACATTTAGTCATGGTTGAAAAACTTAAATATGACAAATTCTTAATTTTGAAGACTGAGCGTTGACAGAAGGCCAACTACTTCAACTTCAAAGATGATGACAACAGCCAGTATTAATTATTGCTAAATAGATTAGACATATCCCTTATCCCAAGTGAGTCATAGCTGCCTGGTAGGGGCTTTCTCAGGGATGTTGTTGTGAACCATCTATTGGATTCTTTCTTCTGATTTGTCCCAGGGAACACAGTTATAATGACAAGATTTTGATCAGGGCATCACCTAGCAGCCTCACTAGCTACTAGGTTCTAGTGCCCATGGGTAATCCACTTCACAATTGAGACAGTATTTTCTACTCTTATCTGTGGAACAAATTCACTCCAAATGTATAGTGTGGACTCTTTATGCCTTTGAAAAAACTTACAAACTAAATATAAATATTTCTCTCTGGGCAAGATTAGATTCTGCTGAACTGGTATCTGTAACTATCCAGAGTCTGCACAGCTATTATCCCTAACGCACCAAGTAGTCATAACTCAGTCGGCTCTGTGCTTTCTGAACCAATCCTCAAGACCACTCCATCAGTTTTTGTGTGTGGCTAGTGTTAGTTCCCATTGCTTGCTAAAACTGCATGCTTTTCACTGCATCTAGGTCCCAAAGCAGTACGTACTGTCTGTTAAATCTGCAGCGAGATTTAAAGTATTGGTTATCAATACTCCACAGTTGTTATTGCTAAGGAATGAGATTATTTTATTGTCAGGCTGGTTCTCCTCCAGACCTCCACTGGCAAAATGTGAAGGAGTTGCTATAGATTTCAGTGCTCTAGTGGTTTTTTTCTCTCTCTAATCAACATAACACTATATAACCCATAACACCTCTAGAACTCTACCTGATATTTACAATGCGAAAGCAGCCTTCTTATTTTAAAATAGCACCAGTAGCTCTTTTGATTTTATGATTAACCTAGTCAGGAAACATCATAGAGATCAGGATAAGCTCTCACCCCTGAAACTTGACCCCTACGGACATCTTCGTTTTCTGGGTATTAGTAGTTAAGCACATTCAGTGGGCTAGGCAGGTAAATTATTGAATCTTCACTATGTTCTGGGAATTAAAAAGATAAAAAAGACAGATGTCTGGACTTTTGTTGGAGGAAATTGGCATGTAAACAAAACAATTTCAAATCTGTGTGTTAACTGCTGGGAGAGAGATATGTAAGAGGCACAGTGGGTTTCTGTTGTTGCTGTTTTTTGTTATTTTGTTTTTAACAGATGGAATAATCCATTTTTGCCTGGGGACAGTGAAAGGACAGAGGAACGTCTCATTAGAGAAGGTGTTTGACTTGGACCCTGAAGAATTTTGCCAGGTGGAGATAGAGAAAGACTCTAGCCAAGGAAAAGTTAATTTGAAAAGGCAGAGAGTCAGAAGAAAGCAAACCCTTTTTTCCTTCATGTTAGTAAAACTTCTCTTTCGGTGTGATTTTAATCTTTGGGGCAACAAATGTCATTTAGAACCCCCTATTAGGAACACAGGTTGGGTGATAAAGGGGAAGGATACTGTTTGTGTGCTAAAAAAATAAAAATAAGTATACTGAGATTGAATTTTATGCCTGGATCAAAACTTACTCTAAAGAGTACTTTTACGCCAGAAAAAATATAGAGTGGATATTTCTGAAGTAAGGATAAATTTCTGAGGGAGTGAAGGGTCACAACTTCTATTTATGCATAAATTTTAAAAAATCAGAAAAGTCATTTTAGTCCAGAAGAAACATTCACTCAAAAATTATCCGAGATATTATTATTTTTATAACTATAACACGGTAGATACATAGTAAATACCCATTCGCTGGGAGAAAATAAGTAGATCATAGTCTGGACGCTATATTGATAAGATAGTGTCAGCCAGCCGGAAGGAAGTGACACTTACTTCTCCATCATTATAAGAAAAGAAGTAATATAAAAAGTTCCATTCTTTTTAATATGAACTAGGTTCCTGAAGTTGTTGGTGTGTGGAGAACAATGTGACTATATAAAAATAATTTTATTATTCATCCTAATTTCTACACCAATAAGGGAATTGTCATTGCATTGCTGTTATAATTATAGCCTTTTTGAAAAGGCAAGGTATTGAAAAGAACTATAATGTGATGAATAAATGCCTGCAAAAAACCCAAAGACTATGAGCATGTACTTTGGTGATTATTCTTGAGATTTATGTTTATGAAGAGATACTTTACAACTGTAGTAGCATCAATATAGTAGTTTCCAGTAGGCTCAAATTCTTGATGAGGTTAATTGCTCAACAAAAATTGTCCTTTTCCTGTTCACAAGCTTGTATCTTCATTTCTGTCCCCAAGCCCTGTCTTATTTCTTCCATGTTGTTAAAACTGATTTTCTTTAACATTCTCCTATGACACAGATCAACAAGGGAATCAGTTCTATTAAAGGAGATCTTTAGAATGAAATCAACTGTGGAATGTTTTACAAATGTGGTTCAATAAACTCCATATAATTTCAAAAGAAAATGATGCATACAAGAGCATCTTGGGAATTAGCATAAAAAACACTGTTTCACTTAGAATCATGCAAGAAGGACCTTTGGGAGAATAGGACTACTTTTAAATAGCCTGATGGAAAAAAAAAAATCTCTTACTGGGGTTCTAAAGAACAAAATTTGCATATTAATAGAAGATTAAAGTGCCCATCAAGTATTCTGAAGCAGTTACTTTCTCTTGTCTATTTTGTTCTTCACATAAACATCTTTCATAATAAAAAGAAACTTGTGCCTTTGCTGCTATTTCAATGAGTCTCCAAGGTTTCCTGTTACAATAGGACAGATTTTTAAAATGTCTAAAACCCTTGAATAAAGCTCTTTGGATTTTTATTTATTAACACAATGAAAGAGTTACTTTTAGGGAATAGATAGAACGCTTCAGAAGAAAGGACATATTAGAAAATGTTCTTTAAGGAAGACTCTTTCTACCAAAAAGAAAAAAAAAAAAGAAAAAGAAAGAAAATACGCATAACTAAAAACATAAAAAAATAAAACCTCGAACACTCTTGTAGTGAATAATATATATTTCAAAAATGAATTTTAGGTGTAGTGACAGCAAAAAAGGAAAAAAGTAAAAAGAGACATTTATAGGTAGAAAAAAGGCCTGCAGCAATTCTAATAGAGTTTCATTGTGCCCAAAATACAATTGTTGCTATTTCCCATGTTAGTTCCTAATAATGTCGTGGGGATGCTCTTGTAATGAAAAGAAGGTGTTGGTTCTCAATCATCCATAAAATTTAAAATTCAGAAATATACTTGAAATAGTAAATATAGATCAAAATCAATGTAAAAATTCATAACATAAGAGAATTGCCGTGTGCCAAGTTTTAGGCAGGAAACAAACAGGATTTATTTATTTAACAACAAAGGGTGTGGGGAGTGAGAATAATACCGCTCCCCACCCCCTCTGCCGCAGCCATTTCTGGTTCTTTTGGTTTTAGAGCTGCCTTCCATTTGAAAGATCTGAGAGTGTGCCTTTCTACTGCTTTCTGGGGAGTTTGACAAGGAGCAGTCATACTCAGTCATATGGAACATGGATTTTTTTTCATTGATTTTAATATAAATGACTGCTATTTTTCAGATATAGTCTCTAAGCTGGACAATTTATTTTTTAAAGAATAGCATCTTTCTGTCTCTTCAATTAAGAATGTGTGGGATAAAAGTGAATCGTATGTGGATTAGCTTTTCACACTCTCTCAGAGTCTTAAATGTGAAATAGCCATTTCCATGATGATTAGTCTGGTATTCCCTTTCTATGAATGTATTATATGCACCCTCAGCTCGAAAATGATACTTTTGACAATGGATTTTTGTGCGCCTTTTTGGTCTGGCTTTCTTGCTTTCAGTTCCTAGGCCTCTCTACCCTCAATGACAAAGCAGCGCAGAAAAGTGTGAGGGCTGCGGCGCTGAGAGCTTTGGAAAGCGCATCTCACATGAAGTGCGCCTTTCTCTCACGCTGAAGGTGCTCGCAAAGCTTCTGTGCTCGCAGCCAGCGCCAGGGCATTCCTGGGCCCCGTCTCAGCAACTTGCTGCCACTGCACATGGTCTGGGGACACTGAGCAGAGATCCAAGTTTTGACTGAACCTCAGTGTTCCCAAATATCCTTTTTTCTTTTTTTATTCCTCTGCTATTGCTTATCTAGTTTTAGTCTTTGGATTTTCCTATGCTACCTTAAATATCTTAGCATATTCTCTGATTTTGTGACATGCTTCTCTCACCCAATCACTTTTTGATGCAAGGTGTTTCCAACTACGTTGCTTTAAAAAATAAAATAAAACAAAAATTGGTACCCAGAGAAAGAAGTTTCCTGCAGAGAGATTTCTTCTTGTCTCTTTCTTTCTCACCATGAGTTCTGCTGAGAGGTTGATATAGCAGAGGCAATATCAGTATTTTTAAGAGAAGCTTTTCTACAACAAGTGTGTTTCAGGCTGGGAATTCTGAAGACTCGTGGAAACCATTGTAAAACCCTATTGGAAAGGAGATCTAGCCAGCAATGTTAGATGGAAAGGAAACAAAAGGACACATCAAAGATGACTCTTACTCTTTCATAGTTGCTGAGTGGCAGATTTTGTTTTATTTTTATATATTCATAAATTTTATTTTGATAGAAATTCCCCATTAGTTCCTTGTGAATTGAGTGAATGAAAACAAAATGAAATGTCAAGAAATAGGAATAACTTGAAGAAGGTCAGAAGGTACAAACTTCCAGTTTTAGATAAGTCCTGGGGATATAATGTATAGCATGGTGACTATAGTTAACAAGACTGTATTGCTAAATTGAAAGTTGCTAAGAGATCAGATCTTAAAAGTTCTCATCAGAAAAAAAATTTTGTGACTATGTATGGTGACATATGTTAACCAGTCTTATGGTGGTGATCATTTTGCAATATACACAAATATTGAATTATTATGTCGTACATCTAAAATTAATATAATGTTATATGTCAATTATATCTCAATAAAAAATAGTAGTAACTATTTGTTGACAATGCTTTTTTTTGGAAGAAAAATATGATTGCAAGTCTGATATAATTGTTTTGGCAAACGCCACAAATGACCTTCTAAATACCAAGGCCATTGGATTTGGTTTGCATCTTATTTGCATTTAACTTTGTTGACCACTGCCATCGACTTGAAAGTCCCCTTGTTGCATTCCAAGACATTTTCTCCTGGCCCATTCCCCTTTTCTGATTGCTCTTTAGTTTTCTTTAGTTTCATATCTGCTACCGCTAAGAGGACAATGACTGCTACTATTATTAGCTACTGTTTATTGATCATTTCCTGCCATCATGAAGACATTCTAGAACCCTATGAGGCAGATATAGTATTATTACTTAAAAAATAAGGAAACTTCGTCTTAGAGAGTTTGAAAAACTTACCAAAGGCCGCATAGGTGGTGAGTGACAGACTTAACTTAGGGGTGTCTGACTCCAAAATTCACCTTCTTGACCAGCCTGCAGCAGTACCATGTCAGCTGCAGCCTAGCTGGTAACTGTTGAGAGCGCTCCAGGGTTCTCTTCTAGGCTTTCCTATTTTCTTATACTACATTATCCCTAGGTAATTTCATGCACTCAGTGATCTTACCTCTTTCTCCCCAATATGTTGCTGGCTTCCAAATCTGGAGTTGTACTGCTCAGCACATGCACTCTTTATGGGTTTTCTTGTGCATTGGGCATATCCATCTAGATATTCCAAAAGCCTAAGAAACACCCAGGAGTTTAAAAATCTTGTCCTTAAAATCTGCTACTTTGCCTGAATCTCCCAATTAAAAAATAACAATAATGTTTACCCAAACCAATTCCTCCATACCCCCTCCATTCCTTGCAGTCCAATACATTACCAAATCCTATAAATTCTTCTTAGCTTTCCCACTATATGTTATCTAGCTTTCCTCCTAACATCTACTCCTCGGTTCTGGTTCTCTTTCTTGCAGGGCTAGACTTCTTAACAGTTTTATTGCTACAATATGAAGCAATGTATGATCATTGTGGGAAATTTGGAAAATGAAAAAATCAAACAGAAGAAATCTAAAATTACTTATAATCTTGTTATGCACGGAAAACTACTATGCACATTCAATACATTTCCTTCTAGCCCTTTTCTGTTGTTGCACGTTAAAAATATAGGTTCTTACTCTACATACCACGTTATAATTTTCTTTTACTTAACATATCATTGACAGTTTCCCACATAGTAATATTTTTCTACTCTTTAATATCTAATGTTTGCTTGGGTTTTATTATGATATTGTCACAGAGTTTGGTTAGTCCTATGTTGTCAGATAGATAAAATGTTGAATCTTCATGCACTTAAATCATAGAGCATGTCTCTCATTGAAATCATAGAGCATGTCTCTCATTGACTTTTTCGGATATATTCTCAAAGGAATTAGTATGATTATACTTTGCTTCTAAAAAATAAAATATTTTCTTATAATAAAAGCAATAGACATTGATTTTAGACAAATCAGAAACACATATAAGTGAAAAAAGAAAATACAACTCCTATTATCACCCAATCCCCCCCAAAATAATTTATATTTGTTACAACTTGGTGCATATAATTTTGCAAACTTTGCCTATATCTGTATTTATAACAAATAAAATTATTCTGTGTGTACTGTTTTTTAAAATTCTTTTTCACGTCTTCATATAAATTCATTTAAAAAATATTAGCTTATAGGAAGATTTTAAAGATTACACAGCTGTGTGGCTATAGCTTATTCTTTAATAAATTCCCTACTATTGAACATTAAGAATTTTTGCAAATTTGAATTGCTATAATTAACATTTTTAGTACCTAAATCTTTGCAGATAAATTTGTGCTCATTTTCTTTATTATTTCTTTAACATGGTTTCTGAAATTAGAATCACTGAGTCAAGGTAAAAATATTTTTTAAGACTTTTGATAAATATTTCCAATTTTACCTCCAAAATGTTTTGAATAATTTATTTCAGCAATACGACGGACGCTTTTTTCAGCTCAACAAAATTGATTCGTTTCTTTTTCTTTTTTTAAACAAATATACAGAAAACATCTCAGTAACTTTAAATTTGAATTAATTCCTTACTAATTAGGTTGAATATTTTCCACATGGTAATTGGCTATTAGTATTTCTTCTTTT